CCTATACTCTACCCTGCCCCCGTCCATACCAGAACAGTTTCAATGACTTGTCTCTGCTCACCTGTTCCCATAGTTCTGCCTCACATTTTTCCTTTTTACTGTCTTCGCTACGGGTTTGAAACTCGGTCTTTTTATCAGTGTCTTGATTTTAAAAACAGGATGTAGTCGGACTGTGCTTTTCCTCTTTTTCTAGCATTCTGCCACTTCCTCACCGCGCATCGTTTGTATGCCCAAACCTTTTCTACCTCATCGTTCCACCAGGACATTTGTTCTCATCTTTTCCTTTTGTTGCGTTGATATCCGCGCTTCAAAAGCCTTATTATGCCCACCACATCCTGCCTTGAGAGCCTCTGCTCTACTACTACTAAAGCAATCACTATATCAATATATTTATTTATGTATATAACTATATATTTATACACACACACACACACACACACACACACACATATATATATATATATATATATATATATATATATATATATATATATATATATATTTATATTTATTTCGGTTTATATGTAAACATGTATAAAATAGTTGTTTCCTAGTAATTATAAAAAAGTAAATAAAAAGTATGTGCATGAAAAAATGACTGGCTGTTTGGCCTGGTGCTCTTTCTCCAGCCTATACATCAACTCTTTCGCTACTGGCTATGCCACTATGGGGATGATATCCACTACGATGACAACCTCCTGTCCCTGCTTCTTTGAGAGCTAGCAGAATCGACATCTGCAAGCAAGACAACCTGTCGGCTCAAGTGGGTAGTGCAGTCTGTCCCTTCTGAAGCAGCACTTAGAACTTAGAACTTAGAGAGGTAGATAGAGAGAGAGGGAAAGAGATAGAGAGAGAGAAAGAGAGAGAAAGAGAGAGAAAGAGAGAGAAAGAGAGATAGATAGATAGAGAGAGAGAGAGATAGATAGAGAGTTGTGCTTGTGAGTTAATGTCCCCGTTAGTTCACGAATCCCTAACTGGGCTGAGATTTTAAAATCGATGTCAGCTTTACAGTTTGCCCAGTGTAAAATGGGTATATCCTGGAACACAAACACGCTGTCGAATAGCTGGTCTTTTTAAGTAGAAACCATGAGTTGTTAACCCTTTGGCTCGGCACTATGGATATCGCAACCCTTCGGCCTTGATTACATTATAAATTGTCTGCCAGTGATCCTCTGCCACCTGCTAATAAAAGTCCAACATGTGTCCGGTAAACCAATCGTAAGCTTGTCGCTCGGTCGTCCAGGTATGCTGACTGCTTTAATTAGGCTGCCGCGACGACTTCTTATCTCACAGTACCTTCTGCAACCACCAAGTCGTCTTGTCCCTATCCGAAAGAAAAACACCATCCGGTAATCTCGTGCAGCAGGGTACCAGCCCTGAGCCTCATGAACTCAGGTGGGCCCACCTCCGAAAGCGTCTAGGAATCGTGGGCCGAAACGCTCGTTGACGAGGATAATTTCTACTGACGACTGGTAGATCCCTGCTGTACTTGCTCCCTGTGAGTTTATTCCTAAATACTGTAAATCTGAGAGATATGTGGCTTTTCTGCCTACCCCGCGGGCGTGAACCCGGACCACAAGGGGTTCGTCACCCGGTTGTCGCGAAGTCAGTTTCAGCAAACTATGCTAGCGAGCCGGGCTCATCTGGTATATAAGCGATAGAATGGGATCCCTTACGCAACTAAGTGTACAGAGAGTCACCGTGGCGGAGCGGCTAGACGCTCACCGCTGATCGGAAGGTCGTGGGTTCGCTTCCTGGCGGAGCCGAACTTGTTTTCAAAAATGACCTTGGCTCCCTGGTCAACCCAGCCTTAAATGGGTATCAGGTGCAGTCCCGGAAAGTAGACATCTTGTGCCGATTGATTGGGGTATTAAAATATATGTCTATATGCCCTATTTGCCTAAAGGCGTAGAAAAGGGTCCCTTACTTTTACTTTTTACGTAAGTGTAAAACGAGCCTTTATTTAATTGCGATGGGTAAGGTTTAATGGCAGCAGCGTAGATATTACAAACATGAACAGACTCTAAGAACAGCATAATTATTTGGATAGGAACTTCGTTAACAATTCAATTAAATTGTCTTAAAATTTGAATTTGCAAGTTTCAAAAGTCGGTAAACATTATATAATTAGTCTATCAAGATCCTATTTATGAATAAATAAGCTGGCCTCCGGAAGACCCTTCTCAAATTATTTATGAATGGGCGAAGGTATGAAAGGAGTGCTGTCAAAAAAAAAACGTAGATAGTAAGACGGGAGCACATGGCCAATTCATAACACTTTAAATATTAAGTTCGTTCTAAGCCCCATTAAGCCATACAGAGATATCCACAATTGAATTATCCTCCTTACAAAGGAAACCGCTTAATTACCTCCTTTAAGGAGACTATACACAGCGAGTTAGGACGTCAGTGATATCTCCTAGATATCTAATAATTTAACAATCACGGTGGCTTGAGAGAGAGAGAGAGAGAGAGAGAGAGAGAGAGAGAGAGAGAGAGAGAGAGAGAGAGAGAGAGAGAGAGAGAGAGAGAGAGAGCTGGTTACGATTTAAAAAAAAAGATTCAAGATAGCACAGCACAGGGGGGCCGATGCATAAAAAACATGAGGGGATCTCAGCGTCCTTTCACATTCTATACAGGGAGTGGCTGGACGGAGCTTCAAGGTGTCTAAGCCTTGTCTCAAGCCTTGTCTAAGTGCTTAACACTTAGTGGCACAAAGTGCCAAAAAAAAGTAAAGAAAAGGTCCTTTTTCTACGCCTTTAGGTGTATAGGGCATATAGGGCTAGACATATTCTTAAAGACCACTTTGCACAAGATGGGTGATGTGGTCGTCCTTTACTTCCCGGGACTGCACCGAGTATCCACTCAAGGCTGGGTTGACCTGGGAGTCAAGGTCATTATTGCAAAAAAAAAAAAAAAAAGTCTGGCTCCGCCAGGGATCGAATCCACGAACATCCACTAGCCGCTACGCCACGGCGACACCTAAAGTGCCACTTTTCGGATAAAAATCACCTGGGGGTAAGTCCCAGGAACCCACTTCAACCGTTCTGTTATTTTAGGGTCCTCGACCACAGCCGGGGTTTGGGCTTTAGAATAAAAAGTAAAATTAATTTTTTTTTAAATTGCACCCTATATTGGGGTTTCCTCAAACTATATATTACCAATCTGAATAATATCTTTCCTGTTGCAACATATGCCTGTGAGACATGGACACTTACCAAACAAGCTGAACAGCGCATAAATGCCTTTCAATATAAATGTTTTAGAAGGGTTCTAAGAATATCATGGGTGAAGAAAAGAACAAAAGCATCCATACTTCAAGAACTGAATATTGAAGAAGGTTAGATTTTAACTCTTTGTCTCAAGGAACGCATCATACGTTCAACTAGAAGCCCAATTACCGCATGTCTCAGTTTTAGTCTTTCTTTACTACCCCATGAGCCTGTGATGCTAAACCCACTGCGACTCAAAGAGATAAGGACGATACAACAGAAAAATTTTTCTTTGAAATATATCGGTCACTTAAAGCGCCACGAAAGTTTAGAGATCCATAATGGAGGAGTATATGTCTGGGAAGAGATGACGAGGAAAGCGAAAGAGAAGATAGGTGTAGGATGTGGCGGATGATCTCCAGATGGGTGTATCGGATGCGGGACATCTTGCTGGTCATCGAGATGTGTTCCGGAGCGTTGTTATGGGAGCAAGGTTCTGCAAAGGAAATGCTACTGACTGACTGACTGACTGACTGACTGACTGACTGATTGACTGAATCCAAATAATGGTGATAATGTACTGAATGGCGAGTGAATAATTCAATGTATTTGAAACAGTCTTGATATGAACTCTTCTGTACACATCTTACCAAACATAACTTCTACACATGATTAAAAAGGAGCTACAGGACGGGAGAGCCTAAGTCCCTTACATTTTTTTGCGGATCTGAGCTCTACCCTATCGACTTATTATTTTTCATCAATCATTATTATCATCAATCAGGTGCGTCTTCACAATGAAGGATGGCCGCAGTGAATCTACAATACGCCCTGTCTCCTATCCTGGTTATACACTTTCTCAGACTATTGCTCGCCAATCTCTTGATATTGTTTTCCCTCTTTATATCTATTATTATTTTTATTTTAAAAAGAGGTCAAAGGTGTCTACAACCGCCTCCTCCCTTTCCGCTTTTGGCGCAACTGGCATAGCAGACTAAGAGAAGCAATGCTGTTAGCAGAAATATGCTTTGCCAAGACAAAAATAAATTAGGCGAGCTGATACCAGCCTGAAATATCTTTATGTGACAAACTGGTTCTTCTTGTGTAAATACTGGCACGAACAAGCCAGCGTGACTCTGGTCTTGGCGACAATGGAAACAACACGAAGTTTTAGTCAGATTACGGAGCCGAAGCGAGGAAGAGGGCTGGCCGAATGGTTAAGGCACGCTGGGCTATTTCATGCAGGAGAACCGGGTTCGAATCCTGGATAATATTGTGGATTTGATTCTGTCGGAAGCAAAATCAAAATATTAATCTGCAGAGTCGTAGGGGAGCCGCCGTGGTTTAGTGGCTAGACCAGCGGTTCTCAAGCTGTGGGTCGCGATCCATTTGAGGATCGAACGACCTTTTGCACCGGCTACCACACTTGCCTGCCAACCACGTGGTCATGAGTTCGAATTTGTATTGAGGAGCATTCTTAAAAATGTACATGGGCAACTGGCTTAAAATATATGCTAGAAACACGTCCTGAAAAAAAAAAGACAGAGTAAAGAATCATAAAACAGATCCTGAAATGGAAGGGGGAAAAAAACGGACTAAAGAAGCAGCGACGTCCAAGAATAACTCAACAATAAACTTTGATGAGAGAGATCAAATGTGTCCGGCTGGACTCCGTCAAAGATGACAGAACTGTACAGCACAGGGGAATCGGCTGTGATCACCAAGAAATACATATATAACGCTTACACAGGAACATAACATAGCATGAATGAATGAACAATAACTCACGTGGCAATGTTTGACTTCGTCAGGGATTTCTGGGCAGCAGTGGCCTCGTCTTCTGCTTCTTCGTCACTTGTTTCAGAATTTGTCTCATCCAGAGGAGTTGTGTCCTCTGTAGAGTTTCGTTTTGGCGCCTCTGTGTCTTTTTGGGTTTCATCTGCATTGTTGTTTGCTCTGTTACTGTTCCACGCTTCCTCTTGTTTCGAATGTGTGTGAGAGCCTCCTTTTAACAAAAGTATTAGAATAAATTCCACTGTTTTACATTTGTTGGTAGTAATACATGCATTTCTTCTGTTACTTTGTCTTACCATTGACAGTAGAAACGAAGATCAACTAACGGCATAATATGTACATTTGTTATTAGTTTATTATTATTCTCTATGTTTGTTTGTTTTAGTATCCAGAAGCCATGAGTTGTTAACCCTTAGGCTCGGTATTATGGATATCGCAACCTTTCGGCCTTGATTCCATTGTAAATACCGTAAATCTGGGAGAAATGTGGCTTTTCTGCCTACCCCCGGGAGTGAACCTGGACCACAAGGAGTTCGTCACCGGTCTCCGCGCAATCCGGTTTAGCCAACTAGGATAGAGAGCCGGGCATTATTCTCTATAAACAGTAACATGCATCTATTTCTAAGATCCGATTCAATATGAAATAACGGTAAATGCATAAATTGCTAGGCTAGTATTCTATAAAACATAAAGGTAACTTATCCTCTTTTTCTATAAACCAACATTCCTCATCATCAATTTCCACTTTTGCAGTTGAGCGACGTGGGAGGAAACAGTTAACGATCCACTGCCTAGTGGTAATAACGGCTGTTGCCATTCCGCATCGATGTAGCAGGTCTTTATTGTCTTTTAATGTCGTCCTCCTAAGACGACCTCTTGAATTCGCACTATATTGTTTCACGTGTAGTGTCTGGGAGTCGTCGTGGCATAGCGGCTAGACACTCGTGTGCGGATCGGAAGGTCGTGGGTTCGCTCCCTGGTACAACCTGACTCTTTTTTTACTCTCAGGTCGACCCAGCTTTGAGTGGGACCGGGTGCAGTTCCGGGAAGTAAAGGCGACCGGCGCGATGCTGAACCCATCACCCATCTTGTGCCGTTTGTCTATAAAAAATATAGGTCTAGCCCCATATGCCCTATACGCTTGAAGGCGTGGAAAATGGCCCTTTACTTACTTACTTTACGTGTAGCGTCTGTGTTGGTAGTTGTTGTGGTTGCATTCTAACAAGATGGTCAAACCATTTGGTGTTCTGTTTCTCACTGTGACGAGCTGGTCTGGACAGCTGTTTCTGTCCTTTTAAAAAGTGCTTTGTTTAGATAATATTATTACCAAAGTTCTAAACATTTTCCTATTGCTTTTAATTAGCATAATAACACTGGACTAATTAAGAAATTTCTTACCCCTTTCCTAATGCTTCATTGTAGCAAAATTATAATTAAAGAGTTGAAAGGTAATAAAGGCGAAGAGTAGTGCAAGGGGTAACAAAGAGTAACTTCCCCCTTGGTAGGACTTCCCATCTTCCATTTTAACATTCCAGGCTCGATTAGGGGAGTCAAGATTTTGTTCTCCCTAATTGACACAGTTCAGTTAGTTCTGTTGTCTTGTTGCCTGAGTTTGAATTCCCTGCCAGGGGTGAGTTAAAAGAATAAGTTTAATTTGATGTATTGCTGCTTATTCCTCTGAATTAATTCCACAGGTTAAATTCTGAAATTTAATGCCCACATGGCTCAAAAACTATGATAAATTTCTTTATCCTCACTAACCACGTTTATGATCTAGTATGTACATGTATGCAAACATATTATCTATTTGATGATTGAATTAATGTTTATTTGCTACTAGAAACGTGCATTGGTATTTTTAATAATTATACTTATATTAATTAAGTGATAATTATGTCCTCATAAAAAATCTCAGCCAGTTCCTGTTTCCAGCTTAGACAATTAAAAATAGGAATGAAGTGTATATTCATTATACCTAATCCCTTCTAAGTTGATTTTTACCTCATGGTGATATTAGCTTAATAAATCACTGTCTTGCTTTAATTTAGATTTAGTCCAGATAATTCTGAGACTAGTTTAAGAGCTTGGAAAGTGAATAACACAGTGAGGCTGAATTTAATATTCACACTGTCAGAAAAGAAGAAGAAAGATGTATGGCCCATGCTTGTAATTATTATTGTTGTAGATATATTTCCCTATTACTAGGAATACATTTCAGTCCTACAGCAGGTGGCCTTACAAATGTAATAATTATATTTCACCCCTCACCACTTCTAAACTCTGCTGAATAAGATTAGCACAGGTGTGGATTTAGATTTAAACTGGAGTGAGTGTTGTATATTTAATGTTAATACTGTGACAGATGGAAAGCCCATTGTCATCTATGATTGTATTTTGACATCTATCTCAGCACCCAATATATTGATGGAGATATGTCAATCCCATTTATTTTCAAACAGTGCAAAGCACCTGTTATGAGTTCCTGGTCTTGGTAAACTCACTCCCTGCTTCTCATTCATTGTGATGTGAACCCATGTGGTTAAAATGAGAATATTGTGAAATATGACTGTATGTCTGTGTGTGTAAGCATGTTAACCCTTCAAAGGAGTACTAGTGTGCAGACATCAGAACAATTTACACTGAGGAATGTCCTTTCTTTTTGTGTGCTGTAAACCCTTGTTCTTGAGAGTATTCATGAAACTGGTTTCCTAAATATTTCCCCATCAGGATTATGGACCATGTTCTGTACACATTCCCATTCTATACTAGTAGAATGTGAACACCTGTTACTATCCTACTCCATATATATATGTGTAGCGTAACAGTTTAAAGACTGGAGGTATTGTTGTCTCCAGTTAGAACCTTCCTGACTGTTTGTATAAGGACTGTTCTATTGTTCTAGTTCCAGATTGTAATACAGGTGGGAGTCCAGAAGTAGATCCTAAGCTTAGCTGCAGATACCCGATTGTCCGGACTGGACTGGAAGATTCGGCCTGCCTGATGTGTTTCCGAAGCTTAGTCAGAAGCTGACAACAGAAACCTAAGCTACAGCTAAGTGGACAGTTGTTCACTAACCTTTTATAACCGGATTTTATATCCACAGCCATTTTGTTTATTATTTTGATATCTAATGCTGAATAAATGTTAGTTTTAATGTTCCTACAGTTTTATGAAGTTTCATTTTAACTGTAAACATTGTCAGTGAACTTAAGAACATTTAAATATACAATCTTAATTACAGCAGGGAATAAGATGTGGGCAAACCCCGAATCCTCTCATTTAACCAGCAATGCTGTGGTTACTATAAGACTATATGATGACTCACTGTTTGTAATTCCCTCTGTAAAGTGCACATAGTGCATTCGCTAGTTAAAGCGAAGTTACCCGCCACACTCACTGAATCTGGCGCATGGTGCTGTTTCCACTGACTGCCTATAGTATGTATCATTTCCTACTATATCTCAGATGGTTAAGTTGGCGGCTTTCCTCGGTCATATCATTTGACAGGCATTAAATATTATGTAGGTTTGCCGTCTATTTTTTGCACCGGCAACGAATAGTCGCTATAAAATGGTGTTTATAATCTGTTTTAGGACCGTCTTATTTATGTGTAAAATAAGTCAGCCTTTCCTCTTGAGTTCAAGGCGGCAGATAGATCAGAGGTCGTAGCTCTCCATGTCCAGCGTTCCTAGCCACCTCTTTTAAGTCTTGGATGTTCATTAGGCCCATGACTGAGCCTTCCCTTTTAATGGTTTTACGCACGGTGTCTCCTAGTCTTCCCTGTTTTCATTTCTCTTCCGGTGTGCATCTAACAGTAGCACACATTTATTGCTAGATTAGATGCATATGCAATATTTCCGTGTCTCCTTATAGCACTTTCGAACACTGTGGTATGGAAAAACGGAGATAAGCTAACACATGCATTTACAAGAACAATGAGCTTTTCTGAAATGAGCTGACAAAGATATTCTGTAGGTTTCGAAAAGTAATGTTTAACTACATTATATTCAGTACGCCCAAGTAATCTTTTGATACCTTTCCGTTAACCGCCAACCAAAGTATAGTCTTCAAGAAGAGTCACAAACAACACATATACATACACACACACAGACGCACGCACGCACACAAATGACACTGACACACACATTTTTTTTTTACCTGTGCATGCACAAAAATTAATGTACGTAAATATTAACATTACGTATTTTTTGTGTGTTACCTGTGACTCTAGCGCCTACAGAACGCTGACCGATGGCCTCAGATTGTATCAGTCGGTCCTTGAGTTTTTCCAGCTTCTCCTCACACTTTAAAGTTCGAATTCTCTGTTTCTCTTCTTTCCTTTTTTCTTTTTCTAATTTTGCTTCTTCTCGTTCAACCTAGAATGCAACGTGGCAAAGGTTATTCAAACATACAGGAGATGGTTTCAGATAAAAACCTTAAAAGTGTTATATAGATTAAAATAACTTTGTCACGTTCTTGTAACATGTCAGTACTGTTGTTAAGAAGTTTCAAGAATGGTAGGGAATTTATTTATTCAAGGGAAATTGCTCAAGAATTATGGAGGAATTTGAAGCCAACGTGCACTGGATCGTAAATTATCCCTTCCCACAGCGCTTAACGGCAAAATTGGTTTATGATGATAATGATGATGATGATGATGAATGTTAACCCTGTGAATAGATTATTAGAACAAATTAAAAACTCTCCGAACCATTCACCATAAAATCTGGAGTGCCACAGGGATGTGTTATATCTCCCCTACTCTTTTTAACTTGCATTGATAGTAACTGTAAAGAAACCAACCTGACATGGAAAAGAAGAACCAAACTCTAAACAGTTCCATCAACGAACTACTATTTACGGATGACCAAACACCAAATGCTACTTCATAAACATAACTGCAAGCTCATATAGATAATTTAAACCAAACTTGCAAAGCGCATAACTCGAAAGTCAACGCCAACAAAACAGAAATCAGAACCAAAACTAAAGTA